GTGCGGACACTGTGTTTCGTATTTGCTTTACCGGTAAGCCATATTGATAAGAAAATTTAGATAGATGGGCATCTTGAAAAAAAAAAAAGTAACAAGCTGCTAAATCCGTTTCAACAGTGAGCAAACTTCCAACTTTCGACATGAAAGGATTTCCACTCCCTCTTTTACCTAGTGTGCTTGGTCAGCGATTAGCTTGACATCTGTAACACTCTGTTATCAGTAGAGATGCTGAGAGCAAACTGATAACAGTTTGATCTGGTCTATCACTGCAGAAAAGTATGAACTGGAAAAAAAAAGTTACTTAGTAAGCACATTGATACGTACTTCAGTAAGATGCTGAATTTAATGTATTTTTTTCTGTGATATTCACCCCCCCTCCTCCGTTAAACATGTTGTAGTCTGTCTGTCCGTCCGTCCGTTTTTCTGTCCGTCTGTCTGTCTGTCTGTCTGTCTGTCTGTCTGTCTGTCTGTCTGTCTGTCTGTCTGTCTGTCTGTCTGTCTGTCTGTCTGGACTTAAGTAGCATGTGGGGTTAATATGATTTAAGTCTATACTATAACCGCAAAGGACGTGGCAATGCTATTCGTTAGTACTAGTTTCATTTCAACGGAATAATGTGTACGCTTCTCTTCTTCTGTTCAGGTAAAGAACGGCGACGCCAGTAATGAAGTAAACCTCGAGTTCCAAGCAGACAGTTCAGTAGACAACACATCCGCCAACCCACTGTACGAGATGAGCGCCGACACGCAGTCTTCCAACCCTCTCTACGACTTCTCTTCGAGCTCGGGCAACCCGCTCTACGACCTGACCACCGAGGAGAGCAATAGCAGCCAGTCGGCCAACCCGCTGTACGACTTCTCGGCCGAGACCACTGACAACCAGACGGCCGAGTCCAGCGGGAACCCTCTCTACGACTTCGAGAACGGCCACGCCGAGCCGTCGTCCACGCAGCAAGAGACGGAGGTTGTGGGGTCTGGGGGGAACGCGATGGAAGATGACTTTTTCGGGACCATAACTACCACTACAACCACGACGACCTCCAGCAGCGACGCCGACCTTCTCGGGGATTTCGGGGACCAAAACCAGGCGGTAACGGAGTCGTTTGAGGAGCAGCAACCAGAGGAACAACAGGAGGATGTTATCGCGGACCAAAGTAGTTTAGGAACAGAGGACCAACAAGACAGCTTTTTCAGGGAAGAGATTGTGCAGCAGGTGAGCATTCCCACATTGTGTTGTTTTATTTTGAAGGTTGGCATAACTTGGGGTGTTTCTTTGAAGTGGTTGCAGTGATTTAGTTCAGAGTTTGTTATTCTGTACTTAGATTCTCTTGTAGTCACAGATAACCTAAAGAAGAGCTCTGTTATTGAATGGCGAAATGTTTCCATCTGTCAGAGCGAAAAAAATACGTGTCTGAATCAGTTTCAATACTGTAAAGATGTTTTTGTGTTTAGATTGATGGTGGCAAGTCATCTACTGTTCTCTTCAACTTCAGCAAAAAATGGATAGAGAATATATTATACCCTCTTGCGTGTTCGGTGTGATAGGATATTATGATGCATTTCAATTCGATGTCTCAGGTACCTTGTAATATTCTGTAACAAATAGTTCAGACATTTTTGCTAGTTCACGAGTGAAATTCCGATGGATGGAAACGTTTGACCTACCCTGTCGTAGTTCTTGTAGCTTTGAGCTTTGATAGTGAAATAGTTGCTTTGATTTTTGAGCGTGTCTTGTGTGTTGATATGTTTGTCTTATTCATTCACTTTGCCATATTCATTCATTTTACATTCAGAGGAAGGGACAAACATGATGTTCTCACACCCCCATTACTCCACTTCTTTCTTAATTTTTTTCCATCTTGTTTAATTTATTATTTTCTCACATTTGTTGTATGTCATTTGATCGATGTAGTCGAAGAGAGGCATTGATTTATTGTTTGGCGCCTGTCCAGCGCATTTAGTAAGATTTTCTTGTTTTTTTTGGACAAAACAACTACAAAATTCAATTTTCTGTTAGTTATTCTTGGACTTCTCTCTTTCTGGCATTGTATCGGCCTGTGGCAGTACTAAGTTTCTCAATAGATACTGTGGGTCTTTTTTCCTCCTTTCCGTGCTTATGTACCAATAATATTCAAAGGAACTTGTAGTTTTGTTAAGGCTTTTACAATGCGTGCATGCTTTGAATGGATGCGTAGTTTGAGGTGAGAGAATGCTTAATGTTCTATCCCTTTTGCAATGTATAGCCCACTGAGGACGAAGGAGTGGGAGATGTAGTCGAAGCTGCTGCAGAGTTGGAGGAGGAGGGTTCCGTGCCTACCACGGAGGACCCAGAAGTGCTGGTGACCGGCACAGAAGAGCTGCCTGATCTTGTGGTCACAGAGGAAGGGGATGACGATCAACAAGCCGCGGCCGGGGCTGGAAGCACTGACCAGTACGGGCACGACAGGAGAGAGGAGGACCTGGAGCAGTACTGCATGGACAGAGAGGAGTCGGACCTGATTGCAGACGAGCAGGAGAGATATCCCAGCGGACAGGCTGACCAGAGCGCTGACGTTGTGGCTGAAGAGAGTGCTGCCCCGGCTGTCGAGATTGTGGAAGAAGTTTATGATGACAGCACGGCGGAGAAACAAGTAGAAACAGAGGAAGAAATACCCGAACCAAAGGCCGAACCTGAGGCCGAACCAGAGGCCGAACCTGAGGCCGAACCAGAGGCCGAACCTGTGGCCGAACCTGTGGCCGAACCTGTGGCCGAACCTGTGGCCGAACCTGTGGCCGAACCTGTGGCCGAACCTGTGGCCGAACCTGTGGCCGAACCTGTGGCCGAACCTGTGGTGGAACCTGTGGCCGAACCTGTGGCCGAACCAGTGGCCGAACCTGTGGCCGAACCTGTGGCCGAACCAGAAGCCGCGGCTGCAACAGAGGTGTGCGAAGAGGACCAAAGAGATGGTGTGGAGCAGGAGGAGGAGGCTGTCATGCAATTCCAGGAGGAGGAGAGGAGCGAAGTTCCCAGCGCTGGACAGGATCCCGGGGCTTCTACAGAGGACGCGGCTGAGGTAGGGGCTGAACGCAGATGTTGTGACTTACCTATGGAATGCCTGCCCGTTTGTGCGTGCCTGCTGGCCTGCCTGCCTGTCCGACAGTCTGCCTGTCTGGCTGTTGGTGTTGCATGACGTCGACATTAAGTGTTTGTGACCGACTACACGTCAACGATTTATCGCGACTTTGTTATTTTTTTCTCTGAGACTCGGCGTTCACTCATCTGATGTATGCTTTATTAACGATATGAGTTGACATTTTTGGCTCCAGAGGCCGGAGAGAGTTTTTTTTTTTACGATTTGCATCTTCGTTTATTCAGACCTTAACTTTGGCTCTTTTTTTTTTTCAAACATGGCTTGCTTGTGTTGACTTGGAATTAACGATTTTTATGTAACTGTTTTACGTTTGCTTTGTGAAAGAATGCTCTCATTTATTTACAGCTGTTCACAGCATTTGCAATCCTGTATACATGTATATATGTGCTTTCCATTTTGGGTCGATGTTGTTCATCATTTTTAATAACTTGTATGCGTCATTATTGATCACTTTTTTGTTTCACATTTTTTAATCGTCATTTTTTTTTCAAAGTCCTTTCTGTGGAATGATTACACCCTTTTTGCATATTATGCACTCGTTTCATAAGAATTGTGTGCTTTAAAAATTGAATATATATGTTCAGTGAAGGCAATGAATGATTTACGTTTGCAGTCTGGATGTAAAAAAAAGGCCCCATTGAGCTCGATCGTGAAAATTGCTAAAATGATAATGAGATAAAGTGAAATATGAACTTTTCACAAACTAGTAACTCTGTTGTTCACTCACATACTCACACTCGCTTACACACACACGCACACACACGCACACACAAACTCACACGCACACACGCACGCACACACGCACACAAACACACTCACACACACACACACACTCACACACACGCATGTGCCCCCATATAAGAAACATACTCACACACAAGTGTGCGCGCACTCTTATCACCGCTACTTAAACAGGCACACACACTCCATCCTTCGCATTCTTCGTCTCGTTTTTCTCAATTGTCCCAACTTGTCTGCCCCAGTCTATGTCTCTGTCACTGCCCTTTCTCTCTTTCTCTCTCTCTCTCTCTCTCTCTCTCTCTCTCTCTCTCTCCGTCACTCTCTCTCTCTTTCATTAAGTCTCTCTCTCTCTCTCTCTCTCTCTCTCTCTCTCTCTCTCTCTCTCTCTCTCTCTCTCTTTCTATCGCTCTGTCTGTTTTCTCTCCCCCCCCCCCGCTCTCTCTATCTCTATTGGCGCCCGTTACTGCCTTTTCCGTTTGGGAATGTTACATGAAGAAAGTGAACTCGCACTGTGAGAGAAGGCAGACCCACGGGAGGCTCGTTGGGGGGTCAGGAAAGGACATGTTGACTTAAGAGCGGCCTCTGTACCCATCTTGTGCATGGCATGGCTGGGAAGATGACGACATCTCTGTTGCTACAAGACGACTTGCCATTTTTCGCCCCGTGGGCGAAATGAGTTGATTTTTCTATTCCGGTAAAACGAGTTGTCAGTTTTGCTGGTCGAACACGGAGACGGCAGTCGGGGAAAGTTTTAATGTGGGCTCGTCGCCGCTTTGATTTATAAGGTCAGTTGTCATAGTTTGTGACTAATGAGTAGACTATGAGAGAAAGGGTGTGTTCACTAGTTACCAGATCGGTTTGTTTAAGAAAGTGAGTATGTCAGTCTAAAAGGGATGTGTTGTGAAAAGAGCAACACTGCGGAATGTTGGGTTTTTAATCATGTTCACTCACTAAACAAACAGCTTTATCTTTATGTTTTTTAAAAGTGAAATCCTGTGTCTTCAATAACCCATAGGGTAATCATACAGCCGCCCGTTAATGGAGCCTGCTGGGAATTATCTTGCACTGATTGTGAAGTGTGTATGTATGTGTGTGTGTGTGTGTGTGTGTGTGTGTGTGTGTGTGTGTGTGTGTGTGTGAGTGAAAATATGCGTTGAAAGCTGCCAAGCCGCCTGAATTCTTCTCTTTACGGCAGCGAGAATTCTTTTTACTTATAGCATTACCATCTGGCTTGGCAGAAGCCTGCGTTGGGGCGAAAAATAGATCTTCTTTGCTTTTCTTGAGTGCCGTTGTGTTCCTGGGAAGACTTGCTTGGAAATTTTTTTAAAGAAGAGGCGTCAGCACCTGAGCCTTTTGAGCTTTTATTACACTGTAATGTGAAGAGAGGTCGCTGGTACAGTAGTTTGAACTTTCTTCATTTTTTGAACCTTTATTAGAACATGTTTTTTTCTTTCTCAGACGTTTGTAGACTAAAGAATAAATAAGACACATGTATAAGTGCACCACTTGGATCTACCTTTTTGTGAAAAATGATTAATATTCAGGATAAGAAAACGGCCAAAACGTGTATATTATATATTAAGAAAAAATATACTATTATAATTTTGTTTTCGTTCATAATTTTTCTGTCTGGCTTGTTCTGTTCGACTTCTTTTGTATATTTAGGCATTGTCTGGCTCCAATATAATAAGCATGTTTCGTGTAGAAAATGATGGTTTTCTTTTTAATGTGATGACACTTTTGTTTTAAAGAAACTTGGTTGTTCTTTTTGTAACCTTTTGATGTCCTTATAACATTTTTGGTTCTTGCATGACTATTTGTATTGTTGAACAAATCAATGTCACGCACCTTGTATTTTGCCAAGCGTAGCACAGAAGACTCAGTACAGACAGACATTCTTGAACTTTTCAGCTCTTGGTGCCGCAAAGGAGACCAGTTTTATTATGTATTGTCGGTGCAATTGTTCAAGCTTTATGTTACTGGTTGTTTGTTTTCGGCTTATTTTTTGCTGCATTTTGACTCGTCTTAATATACCCGCTCTCATTGTGTCTTTTCATGTGGTTAGAGGGTACCTTCTTAAGAACCTTCCTATCCGTCTGCCCGTTATTAATATCGCCCCCCCCCCCCCAACCCCAATCCGAACTCAAAACGAATATAGCTATGTCCATGTATTTTTCGTCCACTCAAACAATCCAATACGATCAACAAATCATTCAATCGTGGATCTCCATAGGAGGTTGATGAAGAGGAGGAGGAAGAAGAAGAGGAGAAGGAAGAAGACGCGAGATGGACTCACGATAAGAAATTCACGTCGACGACACAGTTGTTGCTCCTGTCGCCGTCGTCGTCGTTGTCCGCGGAGTGTGGTCACGAACCCCGGCGGGCTGCCGCTGCTGCTAGCCACGTGACCACCACCGTCCGCGTAAGGCATCTCCGTCCTCGGCCTCGGTGACCATTAACCGAAATGTCGAGAACGTATACCCCTCGCTCTCTACGTACGCACGTACCTACTTACCACATAATGGACAGAAGCTGACGTGAGTCATGCCGCTCGCGCCGGCTCGGCTCGGAATTTGTATCCTCCTTCATCTCCGCTTTACTATCAAATTTCGATATTACTATAAACTCTTGCCATTATTCTTTTTACAGCCATATCTTGCTATTTCTTATGTAACTCTCTTTGTAATATCTCTTTTATGGTTCATAACCTCTGTCATAGCGCTAAATATATCTATAATTTAAGCCATTTCCCTTCTCAATGTAGAGACGTTTCAGATTCCTACGTCCATTCTTTTTCCTTTCGAAACAATTATTTCTGAATGTTTCCTGTCCAAGGTTTACCAGGATGTAGATTATTTACTCGTTCTTCTGTTTCGCTAGCTATTGCTTTTGACTGATGTTTTTTCAGCTTTCCAGTATGGAAATTGAATGATAAAAGTGATTTGCCCCTTTTTTTAGTAAACCAAGTGTACATAACGTTAATCATACGCAAGTATTTGGTATTCAGTTACGTAATGATTATATTATGTATATCACGGGTTTTCTTGGTTTGCGAGGTAAAGGTATTCGTAAGTTTTACTTAAATAACCCCTTATCTTGTGCTTTCTAAGCCGGTGTGGACATAATTATGTTCAGTTATTTTTGCATACATTCTCTCGGCTTATAAATACTCCAGTATACGTACATCCTTAAGAAGCCATCGTTCACTCACTGTTCCGTTAACTGTTCTCTCCTTCTTTCTTTTTTTGTTCTCTTTCTCTCACCCACCTTCGCTCCCCCCCCCTCTCTCTCACCCCCACCTCTCTCTCTCTTTCTCTCTCTCTCTCTCTCCCTCCGTCTCTCTCTTTCTCTCTCCCCATTCCTCCGCCTGTGTTCCATCCACGTTTGCACACACATCACTCCAGAGTGGGTGATGAAGAGTTTAGGGGGTTATTATACATCTCCAGCTCTCCAGCAGGAGGCACAACCGCTGTAATAAAGGAACGCTCATTTACATCTATGCTCTCCCC